GTTAAAAGATTTATTAGGCTTGAAATGCACTTGAGACAGGGATGAAACCTTCACGGAGAGGCCCTCAAGGCTGGTTAAGCTTCTCATTGTCTATATGGCTGAATATGCGTCTGTGAGGGAGTCCTTTTCGGGAGCAGCAGACCCAGAAGAGTCTCAAATTGAAGCACCACGTGGATATTTTCCTTTGCAGAAAGGGGAATGCTAATCGGTCGCGCGGTCTGGGATCTGGGGAGGGCGGGGCGTCTTGTATAACAACTTTGAGTGGGGAGACCTCCTGGCAGGAAGACCCCCTTCTCTGTTTTCACTTCGAGTCCCACCGCCAGCAGCCTGAGGGTTGGCTCCCAAGGTCACGACATTAAGCAATTCACAGTCCTGGCATCCAGCCCCCAGATGTGGCGCTGCTGAAACCTGAAACCTGCTGGGCCACAGCTGTGATGGCCAAAAAAAAAAAAAAAAAAAGGTAGGGAATGCAACTTAGCTGCCAACTTGAGTTTTTTGCTCCACAGGCTGCCTGTCTCCCCGAAGGGGTGTTGGTCAAGGGGTGTTGGTCGGCAGCCTGCAGGCCCGGCCCCTGCCCACCTGGGTCTCCACCTTCTTCTTTCGCTTCCCTGCAAACAACTAGAGGCGCATGGTCAGGGGATGATCACAGCCCAGCCCCAGTGAGGCCAGTTCTCCCTATCAGAGAGTCCTGGTTTTGTGGAACCTTCTGGAACCCCTAGGGCCATCTCATTTTCTGTGCACAAGCAGGAGTGAGGTGAAATCAATAATTTGACTGTGTTCATTTCCAAGGGCTGTCGTAATAGATTATTGTAAACTGAGTGGCTTAAAACCACAGACATTTTTTTCTCTCACAGCTCAGGAGGCCAGAAGCCTGAAACTGAGGTGTCGGCAGGGCTGTGCTCCTTCTAAAGGCTGGAGGGAAGACTCTTTCCTGGCCTCTTCCAGCTGCTGGTGGCCGCTGGCAGCCCTTGGTGTTCCTTGGCTTGTGGCTGCATCACTCCAACTCCAAAATCTCTGCCTCTGCCTTCACATGGCCTTCCTCTCTCTGTGTGTGTCTCTCTGTGTGTTCTCTCCTTTTCTTATGACAACACTCCTTGGATTTAGGCCCATCCTAAGTCCAGGATGATGTCACCTTGAGATCCTCAACTACCCCTCTTCCCAAGTAAAATCACATTCTGAAGTTCCAGGTGGACCTAAACTTGGGGGGGCACACCATTCAACCTACTGTACTGACCTTTGGGGATGTTTATTTCCCACTTACACACACAAGCACTCGTTAAAGAACGTATTTGGGATCATTGTTTTTAGTTTACGTGCATTTTAAAAATTCTGTGTTCAGTCACTTAACGCTCACGTACATTTTTCCATGTTAAACTCCTATGCAGTCTTCATTTTTAATGACTGCCTCTTGCTCTGCCACATGAGTGGCAGGATAGCCTGGAGGTTAGGAGTGTGGGCTCGAGAGCCGGACGGCCAGAGTTTGCATCCTGCATCCTTTTTGCACCCTCTTTTACTCACTGTTACGGGCTGAATTGTGTCTCCCTCAAATTCATATGTCAGACTCCTAAGCCCCAGTACCTCAGAATGTGACTGTGTTGGGAGATGGGGGTCTTTAAAGAGGTGACTAACGTTAAATGAGGTCCTTGGGGTGGGCCCTACTCCAGCCTGACCAGTGTCTTTATAAGGAGTGGAGATTAGGACATAGACACACACACAGCAGAGACCAGATGACCCTGGGGAAGATGGCCACCTACAAGCCAGGAGAAACCAACGCTGCCATCACCTTGACCTTGGACTTGAGCCTCCAGGACTCTGAGGAAAGAAATTTTTGATTTTCAAGCCACCCAGTCCTTAGTACTTGTCATGGCAGCTGAGCTGACAACATACCAGCCACTGGGGCAGAACACCAAATCCCCAGGTCCTCCGTCCGTCCCCTGTGTGATTGGGGTCCTCGGGGTCGGTGAGGATTAGAGAGGATGCTCCATGCATTGCCTGGCGTGTGGTTTGAAGGTGCTCTTAGTGGGGCTGGTACCACCCTGAATTGTTTTGCCGACCCTCTGTCATTGCTCGGTGGGTAGAGTCTATTCATTCACTGGGTGAATGTTTGTTCGGCCTCCGTCATGGCCATTTGCCCCATGATAAAGAAGGCTGTGGTCAGCAGCTGGGTACCTGGTGTTTGGCCACTTTCTTTCTTTTCTTTTCTTTTCTTTTTTTTAAATTTATCAATCACTTTGTTTTTTAAACTTTTATTTATTTTTATTTTATTTTTGGCTGTGTTGGGTCTTCTTTGAAGCGTGGGCTTTCTCTAGTTGTGGCGATCAGGGGCTACTCTTTGTTGCGGTGCGCGGGCTTCTCATTGCGGTGGTTTCTCTTGTTGCGGAGCACGGGCTCTAGGCACGTGGGCTTCAGTCGTTGTGGCACACGGTCTCAGTAGTTGTGGCTCGCAGGCTCAGTAGTTGTGGCACACGGGCTTAGTTGCTCCGCGGCATGTGGGATCTTCCCAGACCAGGGCTCAAACCCGTGTCCCTTGCATTGGCAGGCGGATTCTTAACCACTGCGCCACCAGGGAAGTCCTGGCCACTTTCTTGAAAGAGATTTTTAGGACATTCTCTATCCTCTAAGCCATCTTCACTAGCACCAACCACGAGGAGCCCTTGGATGGGAGCTGCCTATTGCCATGAGCTCCTAGGCCAGTGCCCAGGAGACCCTTTGCCGGTGGCAGTGAAGACCCCGTGCAGAGATACCAGGCAGCTCACAGCCCCAGAAAATGAGACTCTTGGAATCAGCATCCCTTTTCTTCTTCAAATCTGTCCCAGTCTGATGGCTGCAGCAGCCACCCCCTGACTCGGCGGCACCAGGAGCTGCACCTGCAAGCAGGTGAGGGCTCGTGGAGAGGGCAGCCCCAGCCTGAAGGCCTTCACGGCCTTCTCACACCCGCCCACGGCAGGGAGCAGCCCGTCTGCTCTTGTTAAATAGCTCGCAGCCCCCTCCCCTCACGCTTGCTGACGCCAGGAGTGCCAAAGGGGCAGCCGAGCCTGTGGTGTCCTGGCATCTCCTGGAGGCCGAGTGAGTCCTGCCAGCCGCTCGGCTGAAGCCACCTCCCCTCCTCCCTCCCCCACTGCCTCCGGCCTGGCCCAGGTGCCTCCAGCCCCAGCCTTTTTGCTTCTCTTCTTTGAAGAGCCACAGCAGGCAAACAGGATGTTCCACTCCCACACGTGGAGACTCAGACGAGACACTTGGGTCGAACCGCATCCTGCTGGCAGAGCTGGGTCCCATCCGCTGTGGACCTGGTCGGGATGGGGTGCGGGGCTGGGGGCCAGGAGGGGCACGCGCGAAGCTGGCTTCATTAGTCACTTTTCGAGCATCGTTCCAAACTGTGAACTTGGTGGGCATCTCAGAGTTCCCTTTGGGGGCTCTTGTGCCAGGAAGGGCCGAATAATGCAGGTGGTGAGGGATGGCAACACCTGCATGAAATGATAATGGCATTCCTCATCCCCCGTCTCACCCCTGGCTATGATTCTAGTATTTTCTGGGAGGTGTTGTTTTTTTTTTAATGAATAATTTCTCCAAACCGTAGCAAATCAGTCTAGGATTACAAGATGGCTACAAAATAGATGGCTGCCATGGAGAGGCACAAGGTGGGAGCTTACAGAGGCGTGGTCTTTCTGAGCAGTGAGATAAGACTGGAAGGACGCCCAGGGAAGGGCAGGCAGTAGCTGAAGAGCTTAAAGAAAACCCAAACTCTGCTGAAAGCAAAATGATTTAAGCGGTTCTCCCATGGTTGAAGCCGTCTTGGGAAAATGAAGGTGTCAAGGCTGAGGTCCAGTTCTCCCAGCCCCCAGGTAGATGTTCTGAGTCCCTGGACACCATCAGACATTTCATTTACAAAGTAGTTTGTGTGCCTGTTGAGAGAGGACAGATTGAAAAGACGTTTTACCACCCACTTGATAACCCTGCCTGGCAGTGAGCAGCATTCTAGACACTCCTGGAACTTTCCACTCGTTGAGCCCATTGGTGGTGCAATAAGTGAAGGAACCAGGGTGCGCAGGGTGGATTTTCGGTCTGCAGAATGCCCTGAAAGCTCGGTTGAAAGGTCTGAGAGAGATGGAGAGAGATTTCTCAAAAGAGACTGTATCCCTCGACCACCAGAAAGCGCTTCCCTTTTGCTTCTCCTCTTCCCACCCCTTTGCAGGGCAAGGGAGGAGGGTGGTGGCAAAGGATGGGGTGGGAGGAGAGGGGATGCTGGGAAGAGAGGGGGCAGCTCTCTGAGGACTTGGGGTGAGGCAGGCGGCAGCCCTCTAATCTGTCAGGGTTTCTCCCCTTGCACCTGATGAGCACGTACCTTGGAAAGATTTCTCTCCCAGAGATGCACTCCTGGAACTGTGTGAGTAAGCAGGTGTTTGCATTCCGCAGCTGACTGCTATTTTCTTTAATTAAGGCCTGTTCCCGAAACCTCTGCTCGCCAGGACTACCGTTTCACTTCCCTGACCTGCATTGAATAAGCCCCATTTTGTTTCTGGGCATAATGATAGGTTTGTTTGAGATCTTGGATGCCAGTCTTCCGGGGGTCTTAACACTATTGACATCGTCTGATATGACAGTGACAGTGGCCTAGTACACTGTCGTCTCTACAGAAATGGTTTCTCTTCTGCTATCTCAAGTTCCTGGAGCCATACATCCCTGTATTATCTACCCAAATAAAGTGGAAATTCTTAAAGGACCTCTTGATACAAAGGTATAAATCAGTGCTGTGCAAACCTATACTTCCGTGGAAGATATAGATAGGTTTGTTTCGTGTGACTCTCTAAGCTCTTATATTCCATTGAGATAATTTCATAATGACCCAAAACACCCAGGAAACCCAGCTTGTCTAGCACACGACGTACGTAACTTTCTTTGTGTGTTTGGCATGTATTTTCCTCGCACATGATCGGTATTTAATAAATATTCGATGAGATGATTAGCCTCACCCTTCAGATTTGTTTTCCTTTTCCCCTTAGATCTTCAACCTTATGAAGTATGACAGCTACAGCCGCTTCTTAAAGTCTGACTTGTTCTTAAAACACAAGCGAACGGAGGAAGAGGACGAAGGTCCACCCGATGCCCAGACTGCAGCTAAAAGAGCTTCGAGAATTTATAATACATGAGCCCCCAAGGCACTGGCAGGACTGGCAGCTTTAAGAAGCGAAGGAACTCACTCTCAGGACCGTGCAGGGTTTATAACCTCTTTGTTTTCTGCAAGGACTGAAATGTGCAAAACGCTTCCATGGAATATGTGTATTTTATTACCTGCTTGACCAGTAAGTTTTGCATGATGGCTAATCTTACATAAAAAGACAAATAGCTTTGAAGTTTTAGTTCTCACACACACCCAAAGGGGGGACAGTCCTTAAAACACTGGACAGTTTGAGTATTTCACAGCTTGATTAAGCGTCATGTGAGGCCACCAGGTGAACGTACAGCCACCTCTTACCTCTAAAGTCTTTGCCCTGCCTCTGTGTGTGGGTCACATGTGTCCACAGATTCACTTGGTGAACCAGCTCAAGAATGAATTGATCTGACAAGCTCAGGTCACTGGGGTTTTTTCTGTCAGGTGCCTCTTGGGTTAAATACTTCTAGAGAGTAAGTTCAGTGCTGGGAAAAGAAAATTCATCACAGCCTCTAAAGATCTGGGGAGCTGCGTGTGGGTATCGTCAGAGGGCTCTTATTTCTTGCGCGTGGGTTTGTTCTGGTTTTGCCCGTAATCCGTGACATTTCATGCAACAAAGATAAATAGTTCATTTTGACAGAAACAAGATCTCAACCAGGAAGAAAGACAAATGGGAGACTGTTCAGGGTCCCCATGGTGATGCAAGGTGGTGCTGAATGGGATGGTGGCACTGGCCCGTGCCGATGATGGAGCTGGGGGGATGTTCCTTTCTCTTGCAGCCCTTTTGGTGAAACCCTTTCTTCTTGATGCCTACCCCTTGCTAGACTTGTTAACTCTGGGCTTGAGACTTCAACCAGAGGAAGGAAATGCTGTCTTTGGAAGCCCCCTCTTGGGTGAAGAGGCTGTGAGTGAAGTTCTGCTGGGCCCAGGCGCCCCCAGCAGAGCCCAAGGTCAGGCACAGTTCCCTTCTGCTCATTGTTCCTGCCGTCTGCTGCTGCCAGACCTTCTCCAGCACGTTTGCCAAACCTTAAGCTCCTGTTTGCACAAACAAAGCAACCAGACTCTTACTTGAGAGCCTTCCAACAGACGTTCCCATTTGCAAAATTCCCTGCTGATGAGCATGACTGTATGATTTATCAATCAAGCCGGGACACTTGAGAGAGAAGGGGAGTGAGCTTAATCATCACGCTGGGATAATAAGCATCAGCTGGTTCTGTTCCCGGTGAAACCAGTTTGCATAGTCACCCTACTGACCACGCTCTCCTAGGGCGACCACTTGGGCAGTTCCCCGGATTCTCCTTGTCCATTCACTGTGGTCGAATGCCCCCTGTCCTTCCACCTTGGACCTGGGGAAGGGATGGTCTTAGGAAGCCATTCACTGCTGCCAACCAAACCACCCAACTGAGCATTCATCAGAAACAGCAAATGCTTGATCCCCCCGACAGGGGGTTTTCTGCCTCCCCCAGGTCATCCCCGACATGCCTTCTCTCTGCCTGGGATGAGATAGTAATGTTGAGAATGACACCCAAGGGCCCTGTCATCTGGGAAATTCAGTCCATCTTCAAGCAGAGCAGACTGATGCACTTGAAAGAGTAAGGAATAAAAACAACATGGCTTCTCTAGCTCAACTTGCAGTTTACTAGCCAGAAAAGTGCAGGGATGCAGACCCACACCCCACTGCACTGTCGCAGATGCAGGATAATTTCAAGGTGCCAGGGAACTGAGCGAGCTGCTTGGTGCTCTCTTTTGAGAGCCTGTGCTGGGCGGGTCCCAGAGACTGCAGGTGGGCTGGGAACCCTCTTTCTGGCTTTTACCCTTTTACCCCTGGGTTCAGAGGCCCTTTGAGGTGGTGAGCTCTTCATAAGCACATAAAGGAAACAGCCAGAGTTAGCTGGGAGACTGTCTGCCAGAAGAAAGCCTCTGGCTTAGGAGCTGCCTGAAGAGCTGAATGCGGGTGGGAGAGTGAGCTGCCCGTGTTCAGCCACGGCTCACTTCTCACAGCACTTCCCCCAGCTCGCTCTGGCCGGGCTGCCTGCATCCCTGCCAATCGCGGAACTGAGGCAGGTACAGAATTCAGCTTCCTAAAGCCATTGCAGAAGTGAGACAGAAGTGTAGGGAATCTGTGTAGCCAGACCCATGCTTCTACCCAGCTTTTCACTTTCACCCTATGTCTGTCCATCCGTCCATTTATTGATTAATATTTAAATTGTGTCTGCAATGTGCTAGGGATTGTGTTAGGTGCCAAGATTCAATGGGGGGAGTATAGCAGCCATGACGATTCATGCTCTAGTTCACAGGTGTTCTAAAATGTAGGTTTTATTATTATTCAGGTGTGGTGAGCCCAGCAGATCAGGTGATGACTATCATTGAAAGGATAGTTTCTAAGAGAAAGGAGCAGGTCACACCGTGCAGGGCCGCGTGGGGAATCACCAGGGTCGGTCAGAAGGTGGAGAGAGTGAGGGAAACGTAGGCAAAAGCCTTTATTGTGGTTTCCTTGGAAAAGGCAGGGCAAAGGGTAGGTTTGGCTAGTTTGTATCATTTCCGTGGGCTCTGGGGCTTAGGGACTGTCCCTAACTGGTACCTGGGCCTGAGTCATTAGGGCAGGTGGCCCAGAGTGTGAGAGCCCCATAAAGAAGGGACCTGGGGATGTGAGCTCTGCATCTGTCAGTTGTTTTCTGTCTCTAAGAATCAGCTAGCGCTGGGAGGGGCAGTCCCCCCAGTGCCAGCCAGGACCCAGAGGTCAAAGCTTCAGAGTAAAACACGCTTATGACAACAGCCTGCAGGGTCTCAGAATCTCAACCCGCAGGCCATAGATGTTGTGTTCGATGGGGCACGTGTCTGAAAGCTTTCAGTGCAATTGCCTTGGGCAGAGCGCAAATGTAATCTCCAGTTGGCTACAAGCCCCATCATTCCCTATTGCCTTCTAACAGGCCATTCACAGTTTACATTTTCTGCTGGCTTTACAGTTTGTGCCCTGATCTCCATCTCCTGTATGCAGAGAGCACGGCCTTGGTGACATTTTCCTCTGTGACTTTTCAGTCATTAATGATACCTCCAGATCCACTCTGCTGACCCGCCCAGCTTTCTCAGAGTCAGTTGCGGTTCACACTCCTGCACCATCTTGCTTTCTCAATCACAGAACTCCCCTCCAAGGCAGGGCGGAGGTCACCTCACACTTGAAGAACACATTTCCAAAGGCTTCTTTCCCATTGCTTCATACACAAAACCTTAAAAAGTGGGAGAACATCTATTTCTCCCATTTTAGAGATGGGAAAACCAAAACAAAGGACACGACTCACACGTGCTTGTGAGTGGTGGAGTCGGAGGCTGGAACCAAACCTTCCATCTCCCGACCCCAGCTCCCTTTTTGGTTCATCCTCTGCCTGGACAGGGCCCCAGGGAGGCCCAGCGCTGGGGTGAATACTGGCGTTTTGGTAAAGATGCTCCTTTACTCACACAACAGATGCTTAATGAGCACCTACTACATCCCAGGCCACATACTAGCTATAGGAATGTAGGGGAATTAAAGAGTGAAGGATGGAGAATCCCCTGGCAGTCCCGTGGCTAGGACTCCGCACTTCCACTGTAGCGGGCATGGGTTTGATCCCTGGTCAGGGAACTAAGATCCCACAGGCTGTGACGTGCAGCCATAAAATAGACAAAAGTCATACTATACACAGTTCAAAAAAAAAGAAAGAATGGGGCATCAACCCTGCCAGCAGCTGGTCAGGAGATGAGATGGGGTTTTTAACCAAAAACCCCTCTGTAAGAAACAAAGTGACCAGCCCCTGGGAGAGAGACTGAGGGGACAGGGCTGGCCGGTTGTGTTCATCTCTTAAGTTTACATGCTCAGTTGTTTTGTCTTTTCCCTAAATGTCAGGGGGTTAATTAAGCTTCATGTTGACACTGGCGGTGAAGTGATTTCATTTGAAAAACATGAGAATAAGTACTCTCTGTTCTGATGGGGGATGAGCTTTTTAAATTCCAGTCTCAGGTTAACTCCAGAGAATGAAGAATTAGTTAACTACGTTTCCCATTACAATTTTGCTAATATGTCCTTTCTTGTGTTAGAGTCGGGAGCTGATGAATTGGTACCCAACTCCCAGGTCCCCGCCCTGAATTTGTGAGCACACTGTTTATACGCTTGGCAAATGCTAGGCAAGCGCAGTCATGACTCGCATTCTGTCATTATTTACTTTCATTTTGGCCGCGGATGTTCTAGAACTTACATTTATTTAAGTGCTAAATGGTCTTCTTGTACCATTAGCTTCCAGGGTTTTAAAACTGTGTTTCTTCTCATACACTGCAGTGAGCACTGTGAAAGGACTGACGCCTGGGCAGGGAGGGGAAAAACCTCACACACAGATGGGGGCAGGGGTAGAATCTCTGTCGAAATGGTCCCCAAATTGTTCTCCTTGGATTCCCACAGGCACTGCAAACTTTGCAAGTCCAAAGTTGCTGAAGCAGAAACCTGGGGGTCCCCCCTTGGGGCCTCTGAGTGAGGGTCTTGCAGGGTACACTGGCTGGGTGCTTGCACGGGCATTCACAGTGTTGCATCCACCTGGAGAAAGGGGGGACCTTTTCCTAACTCCCAGAAAGCCACTGGGTTGAGAGACCTGGAAGTGGCCTGAGGGTCTCCCCTTTCCTGACTTCTAGTCTGATCCATCAGCAAGTCCTCTAAATTCTGCTCCCACATCTATGTTGAGTGCATCCATCCTTCCCACCTCCACAGCCCTGGGCCCTGGCCAATCTGCCTCTCTCGTGTCTTGCCGGATGGAGCCTCTGCACAGGTCAGTCCTCACTGCACGCCCCCTCCCCATCTTCATCCAGCATCCACCTTTTAAAAGCAAAACTCTGACCAGGTTGCTCACCTGGATAAGCCCTTTCTGGGCCTTTCTTTGTGCTCAGAATGAAAGCTCAGATCATGACCATGGCCTCAGGACTGCAAAGCCAGGAGAGCTGAGCCCCGCCCCAGCTCACCTTCTGTCCCTCTACAGCTCATTTCAGATGTGAGCAGGGCACGGACGCTGCTTCCTGCAGCCTCTGCACAGGCTGCCTCCTCCTGACCTCGGCTCCCTGGCTCTCAGGCCAAATGTCAGCTCCTGGGAGAGGTCTTTCCCGAGGACCCCACTAAGCATCCCCCTGCCCGCTTCCCAGCGCCTTCAGAGCCCTGGCACGTGGCTATTTCTCTGTTACCAGCTTATGGCCTCTCTCCCCAAGGACAGGGACGGGATGTGTTTCACTGAGTTCCCAGAGATGAGTCTGCTGCCTGGCCCTGAGCAGCCACGTGGTGGGCCCTCCATAAACGTTCCTTGCGTGAGCAAAGGAATGTCAAGTGGGTCAGGATCTCAAAGTTTGGTTGGTCTCATTCACAGCCTGGCACTCCAGGGTTGCCCTTTGGTAATGGTCAACCCTTGTGATTGCAGAATTAGGAGGCCCACCACTTCCTGAGCACCTCCCACGTGCCAGGCATTGTGCAAGGCGCACTGCAGATGGTGTCAAACTTGGGCAGTGGGTGTGGCCTCCACTATATCAAAGGGGGCTGACCTTTGGAGGCATTGAACCTGCACCAGGTCACCATGGCTTATGGTTGGTGCTGCCAGGATTGGAACCCAGGTCTTTTAGACCCCTCCACACACCCCCTCCCAGCCCACCATCTTTCTCTATACCAGGCTGGGCCAGATTTCAGCTCAGACAAATCTCTGGCCATTCCAGCTAAAAAATGGGACTCTCTTTCTGCTCTCTCAGGGACAAGGCCACCACCCAGCTGGTCTTGACCCATCCTTCTTTTTCCCTCGCAGGATATGCAGAGAGTACTTTGCCCCAGCAAGGGAGGTAGAGTCAAATCCTCCTTTAAAAAGTCTGGTTTGGTATTTGCAACCAGTTTTTTTCCCCAGTTAGTGATATATCATGACCATCTTTCCATGCCAGTAAACATAATTATACACCATCCAAAAAAAAAAAGTCCAGTTTCAAGATTATCTAGGGAAGATAAATGTTTCCCTTGTGCTAATTCCAGCACAGTTTATATTATATTTTGCAACGCGGGCAAACTGTTTCCTTCTCATTTAAGCATTTAAACTCTGTTTTTTAAACTGTTATGGCATACAGATCGCCTAAGAGTAACAGATGTCTGCTTGATGGAGATGTTCCCAGGAAAAGAATTTGCTGCTTCTTGGTCTCCAGAGGAAGGATGCCTTTGCAAGTATGTGGCTTTTGGTCCACATGTCCCCTCTCGTACCCTCGTAAGATGAATGGGGGAAGAAATATAGTGCCACTGGCTGCTTTGTAAATATCTGTATTTACAGATCCTGGCGATTACAGAGGTGAGACCCTGGTCTCCCAGGAGGGCTGTCCCTTCCCCTCCTGGAGGCAGTATTTCTCTGAATTTTCTTAGGTGGTTAAGGTCATGGCCCATCTGGAGACATGAAAATGTGGGTCCACTTCTACTGAATTTGCAGCTTTCCCCAGAATCTTAGCAGTGGAAGAATCTCTCTCAATTATTTTTATCATTATTATTACTTTTTTACTATTGACTAGCATGAGAATTTTGATTAAGATCATGTCATGGAGTTTGACTGCCTAAATTCTAACCCAGCTCCCATGTTTATTAGCTGTGTGCTCTTGGGCAAGTCACATAGCTTTCCAAGCCTAAATCTCCTCACCTGTTAGATGGGGATAACATTGACTCAATGAGATTTAATGAGATAATACATATAGTGTACATAGCACAGTTCCTGGCACATAGGGGGGTCCATAAATATTAATGATCCAGAGTCATGTAGTCTGTTCAAGGTCACAAAGGAAAGATGTAGCAGATTCCTAGTCTGGGCTAATTCCTGAGTGCTTGGCTAGGGCTCTTCCTCTATGTCATTTGAGTGAACACAGGAAGAGCCCCAGGGCCAGGGAGCTGGATCTGAATACTGCTCAGATGATTGATGTAGAAAGTGAGTGGGTCTCAGAGCAGGAGAGGGTCAGCACCAGAGGACGTGGAGGGCAGCTGGTGGGGCGCGGGAAGGGGAGACCAGGATGGGCTTGGGATTGGGTGTCAAGGCCGGGAGGGGGCTCCGTTGCCAACCTGGAGCCAGGCTCCTAGTTCAGCCAAGTGGCCAAGTTAAAGGGCAGGAAGTCTGAGAGAGGGTCTCTGACAGAAGGGGTTCTGACCAGGGAAAAGCGGTGAAAACAGGGAGTTGGTGGTCTCTTCTGGAGCCCCTCTGCGTCTGAAGGAAAGGGAAGGGAATCCAGTAGATGTCCTCTGGGGAGCTGCTCGTATCCTGGGCGACTTTCCCTCGGCCTGCGAGAATGATGGTTTCCCCGGGGAGGAGCTGCCCTCGTGCTTTCCAGGATGTCCCCGACTCTGCTTCTGCGAGAGGAGGGAACCCGGCACAGGGACAGCTTTCCTGAAGTTCCCGGCTCGGGCTCACGGGGGAGCTGCTGAGCCATGGAGAGAGGGCACAGCTGGGCTCTCTGCGGGGAGGGGCCGGCAGCGGGGGAGGACCCTACCAGGCCCTGGGCACCACACCCACCCCCGGGGAGGGGTCCCCACCCGAGGGGTCCCCACCCCCCCAGAGGCGCCCTGCGGTGCCCCCTCCCCAGGTCCACTTGTAAAAGGGTCTTTGTGCTAATCACCTTCCGAGAGCCCGGGTCTGGGGATGGGGCAGCCCTGGAACTGCCAGGTCCATGCCCGCTGACCAGGGCCACCGCCCTGGCTTCTAGGTGTGAGTGGCAGGAAGATGGGCACTCTTCCTAGCCGCCACGGTCCCACAGCTGTTTAGGCAGGAGGATGAGGCACTTCCTGCATTTACACTGAGGTTTTCTTTTGCCTCTTTCCCCCGGCCTCGCTCCCCCCAGCCCCCCACCTTGGCCTCTGCTGGCCCCAAAGACCCAGACAGGCCATCAGCAGAGGACTGTTTTGTTCATTTCATTCATTTCTAAAGTCACTGTTAATTTTCTTTTAAGCACTTGGAAACAATGTTTTGATGTGAGTTTATTAAAGAACTGCAGGACTTTGTACAGTAAACTGCCTGGTACAAAAGCTGCATTAACGAGGAGATCAAGAAATGACTAGCTTTGTGCGCAGAGGCTTAAAGGTTTAAAATTGTTGAGATATTAAATTTCTGTCTTTCTAATCGGTGGATTTTAAAAGTATATCTCCAAACCCTCATCTTTTATCTCTGGTGTTTGTTCTGAAATGTGGTTATTTCTGAAGCCTCCAAGATAAGAGGTTAAAATTTCACTCTTTCCTCCCCAGCTCTCTGGGCTGCATTATTATTTTACAGGTAAGGGGATGGCTTTTTTTTAAAATTGAGGAATAATTAATGTTCAGTAAATATACAAATCTCGAGTGGGCAGCTCAGTGACTGTCCACATTTGTTTACACACATGGAATCACTACCAGGTCCAGCTACAGAACAATGCCAGCGTCTGGGGGACAGCTTTTAAGGGGCACCTTCTCAAGAAGCTGTGCTTTTTCATCCTACCTTCTGTATTTCCTGTCTCGGTTCTCACGGATGGAGATCTCGGTACCCTGTCCCCAACTCCTTGTCCAGCTGTGTGGAGTGAGAATAAAGTGGCCCCTCCTTCATGCACAGAACTCTTTGAGACTTTCCTCTGATTTTTTTCATTAAGAAAATTAGTTACTTTGCAAAAT